AGCGGAGCAAATATGCACCTCTGCAATTGCTATGACTTACCCTCAGTTTATTGATGAATAATATGGATTTAGTTGCTATTTGTGGTTTAAATCATAAAAAATTAAATTTATAAATCCATTAACTAAAAAAGTTTTTTCTCACCTCATTCAAAAATTTATCAGCAATTGATTTTGTAAATTAGAAAGATTTTAATGATAAATAACTGTTTTTCTTAGATCATCTAAATAACTGCACATTTGAAAAATTATTGTTTGGAAGTGAATCGTGTTGTGATGATTTCACCCTTAAGACATTGATGTTCCATGCTGACTATCACAAATATATTATTTTAATGCTAAATAACTTATTATTTTATATTAATATATTTAGCATTTATTGATAAATATATATGTTATGGGGTCGTGGATTAGCTTCAATGCATTCTAGGGGACTTACATTTAAAGCTTTTATTAAGGAAACCATACAAGACAACACAAAATAATCATAGCTAACACATCTTCTCCCCGTTGCGGTCCCGAGAGTGAATGTGTGAGGAAAGTCTGCTTTACGACAGATGGCGCTGTAGTGGCGTAAGCAACATGTAAATTATATTATTTTGACCTAAATTAATACAAAATAGTTAAATAAGTATGAAAAACATGATAAATTTGCGTCAAAGGGTTAATAAACGTTAGAGAACTTGCTAGATGGTATTACAAAAAACTGAAAATGAAACAATAATCTGTATATTTTTTTCTTTCTATTTTTATTTAAAAAATTAAACACAAACATTTTAAATAACTTCATTTATCACTTTCATATGCATGAAATAAATCCTTTTTTTTTCTGTACTGTTTATTTTTCCTTCATAAACCATCCTTTATACAAAAAATAGTTCTAATACGGATTAAGATTATAGTGAGTTATATTTACAAAAAGAAGTATGTATAGAGTTATTTTTTTTAATTTTCTTGAATATGCCGGCTTCTCACAGGTGAAAATATGAAGCAGTGCGCATTCTCAATTTTACAATGTTGAATCCGCACTTGGATTAATTTTCTCTAAAGCCAAAGGTAGTTCGGTAACACTGAGGAACACTGAGTATTTCTTGTATTCCAAAGGCACCTGAAAAAAAAACATAAATTCATTTTTGTGTTTTGCTATATCTCTAGTTTTTATTCAGTAAATTTCATTTCATTCATTCAGATTTTACCATCTAACACATTGCAAGCGGGTCTAGTAAAAATAAATTTTTGAAATTTCTGCAGTCATCCCCTCAAACCATTAAGATTTGAATCCTAGAACGTGAAGATCGGATCACTGGCGAAAGCTATTCAGGGTGGTCCGTTTTTTTTTGTTTTTCCCACTGTACTTTATTTTTGGAGGATATAAAAAAGCATTGATCACTTAATTCACAAATATTTAAAAATTTCCTAGCATTTCTTAAATTACTGACGCGAAAAGCATGGAGAGAAAACCATACTGATTAAAAAAGCATAGCGTAAAGCTAAAAGAACAAATTCATAATAAGTGCTTTAGAATAAAAAATAATTTCATAAAAACATGAATTAAAACTTCTTAATACCTCCTCATGCTTTTCAATATTATATTCAAACTAACTTTGAATATTGGTGTTCTCCAGCTAAATTTGTTGACTACATTTCGAAAGTAGTTTGCAGTTCCTATATTAAAAAAAAAGTAATTTTAGTTAACTACTGTTGTAATAAAGTAGTTGTAGTTTTTTTCCGACCACTGGTACCCCAAACACATCACCTCTACCTTGTATAATCACTTTCTTCTAACTAAACATTTCGTCCACTGTGTAATAAACACAATTATTTAAACGACACTGATTTGGAATAGATTTCCTTATTTCGAGTATACAACTGAAACAGAATGTGAAATCTAATATTAAAATATTCTGTTATCTCTTTTGCTACATAAATTGCCTCAAGACGTTTCTACTTGTGGCCCCACTGTTTTAGCTTCCGAATTATTTAAGAAAATGTCTTATCCAATATTTATTATTAACTCATCAATAACAGGAAACATAAAGTGGTCTATACAAAAAATTTTCACTACAGATACTGGTTCATAACAAGTAATTTTTTTATTAATTTGTCTAACACATTACCTAAAAAAAACAATACTGAAAAAAAACATGATTTGGGTTATCTATAACATACAAAAATTCTTACTTTTGTTGTTGAATGAGTTCTAAATTTGTAATGATGTAATATATTAGCCATGCATAACTTAATCTCCAACAAAGCAAATCTCATTCCCAAACAATTCCGTGGTCCCTCGCCAAATGGTAAATATGTATATTGTGGGTGTTTAACCTTAGATGAATCCATGAACCTAGAAGCGAATAATTAAATCAAATAAATACGAAAAAACAGAAAGTGTATCATCATAAATAATATTTTTTGCAGCTTTTGTCGAAAAAAATAAAAAAGACGCATTTTAATTGCCTCACACTCGAAACAAAGCTATAATTCCAAACTAAATACACACCATCTCGCAGTAAAGAATTATTTAGGTTTCAGACCGGACAAAAAATTTATAAATTTTTTAAGATATTAATGATCATCATCATAGTTGGCCAGACAGCCCAATGTGAGCCAATGTCTTCCTCTGAAGATTTATCCACGCGGGCTTCCGATTTATCTTTGATCTCCAATTTTTTTCATTAATAGCAAAAAAATCAGACTCCACTGAGTCAGCCCATCTCAACCGCGGCCTTCCCCGCTTTCTTTTTCCAGTTGGTCTAAAAAGCAGTATCTTTTTTATTGTGTTTCGTCACTCATTCGAATCACGTTTGCGATCTAATTCATTCGTTTTATTTTTATGTATTTAATAATATCAGGTTGTTTATAAATCTTGTACAGTTCAAAGTTAAATCTCCTTCTCCAGTTATTGTTTTCATTTACACCACCAAGTATACCCCGCAAAATCTGTCTCTCAAAAATTGCGATACAATTTTCCTCCAGTTTTGTCATTGTCCAAGCTTCAGAGGCGTATGTCAAGACTGGCCGGACAAGAGTTTTGTAGATTAAGAACTTTGTTTTCCTAGAAAGAAACCTAGATTTAATAAATCTTCTGAGCCCATAGACAGCCCTATTCGCCAAATAGAGTCGGTTTTTTATTTCAGGAGTAATTCTGTTGTCAATGGTAATAATTGATCCTAAGTAAGTAAAACTCCTCACTGTTTCAAATCTATAAGAATTTGTTTCAAGATAGGGGTCTGGGACTCTGTTTCTTGAGAATAACATATATTTTGTTTTATCTACATTTATGACCAAGACCATTTGTCTTGTAGCCAACTCAAGGGCGAGAAATGCCTCTTTCAGGGCAGGAAGGGAACGTGCAATTATATAAACTTTAAGATATTAAATTTATGTTAAAAATGTCCAATTTTGCCGAAGTTTTTTCATTAGAGGAAAATCATTATAATCAATAAATAATTCTCAATTTTTGTAATTTTTTATTCGAAAGAGAAATGCAGTGTTGAGATATTTTTTCAAACATTAAAATTTGGGAAGAGAAAAAACACGCTTTTTATTTTTAGAAAACTGTGGCTTCTTGTCATCGTGACACTTTACGCCAATTTTGTAATTAGCATATAGAAAGTGAAAAAAAAAATCATTATAATCCCTAAACAAACCTGAAATAAGGTGGGTCAAATTTAGATCATTCCTGATGTTAAGAACCTCACCTTGAAAGGACAGACGAAAAATAAGCACGTGAGGCATAGATCCAATTATCCCGCGCCTGAATTCAGGCCTGATTTGAAGTTTTCCTCACCCGTCAGTGCTTGTCTGAAAGAAGGCTACGATAATCGGAGATTTTTGTTCCTCTTGTGACGTCACGAGCCTGATGTCAGGCCTTGTGTAAAGGGTATATTCCTGTTGCCTTAGAACATCTATTTATTCTTACTATCAGCCTGCAAAGAAGCAACTTACTTCATTTTAAATTCGTCTGCGTTTAATATGTTCCTTTTTTTATAACAATTAAAATATATCAATTAACTATTGTCTTTTTTGCTTTCATGTTTGCAGAAGAACAATGTTTAGACTGGTTTTAACTCTAAATGCTTATTTCAAAATGAAAATCATCACAAATTTCACATCTAAAATGGAACATACCTTTCGGGATTAAAAGTTTCGGGCTCCGGAAAAAACTCGACATCGTAATGCATTGCGTACAGTGGAATAAGCACAGGTATTCCTTTTTCTAAAACTATACCTGTATCACCTAACTTGTAATCTGATGTCGTTATTCGTGCTGTCCTGAAAAAGAAAGATAATAAAATAAAACAAATGAAACAAAAATATTAAATTAACTTCATTTCAAATTTTAAAAGTTTTTGATTGGGAAACAAAACGGTTTGAAAAGTATGAACGCACTCTGAACCAATTTTTCACGCTCAAACGAGTGTTTTTTTAAATGTTTTTTTTAATTGAAAGCGTTAGTAAATTTTATGCTTAACTATTTAATTTTGATTTCATGAACTATATTTACAATAACTGAAACAACAAAAATATGTTATCAATTTCAGTTCCTTTCACCCCTTCAGTTGGAATTAGATAAGCTTAGTTGAAGTAAGATAAATTTCAAGATATCCCCTTCATTGGAAATACCCCTATAACTTCGAGATATTCCCTTCTTTGGAAATTATCACTTAGCTTCAAGATATTCCCTTCATTGGAAATACCCATTTAACTTCAAGATATTCCCTTCATTGAAGGTATCTGTTTAGCTTCAAGATATTCCCTTTATTGGAAATAACCATTTAGCTTCTAGATATTCTCTTCATTGGAAGTATCCATTTAGCTTCACGATATCGCCTTCAGTCTGAAGATGGCTTATAGCAATATTTAAAAAGCAATAGAGTCATTATCATCAAACGAAACAAAAATTATGGGATAGATGGTTATAATAAAAAGATAGTTACATTAATGTAGTTAATATAGATTGATGTCCGGTATGCAGCAAGCCAGGTCTGAATGGGTTATGAAATATAACATACCTGAATATCTTGAGGTGCATTTCAAAAAAGCAGGAGAAATTAAACAATAAGCTTACCCTAATTGTACTTATTACTAAAATGATTACTAATTCTGACAAAGCGGTACCTCACAAAAAAATTACAGATACCTAACCATTTCCTTCCTAGTTTGTTGCCAGAGAGATAAATTTTACATGAAAAAACCTAGATTTATTTCTAATAATTAATGATAATTTTTCAATCATCTCTTGGAGCTTTTATTAATTATATTTTTCATACTTTTTTCATAATTTTGTACTAACTTAAGTCAGAATAAATGAAAAATATTATATTTAGCATTTTAATAATTAATGGTTAGGAGATACAGCATGGAGCACCGGTGTCCTTTTCAAATTTGCAGTTATTCAGCATTGAAATTATTATATATATATTTTTAAATTTTTAATAGCTCTCTTTAGCTATTGAAACGCACTGAGCTCAACCTTCAGGTCCAATTATAATTATTTATACACTTTACCTCTTTGGAGCGGGCGAGTCATGAATGTATTCATACGGAATAAGAATCAGGGTGATAAAAATTTAAAAGTCATAGCTTAAGTTTGTGCATGACTAAATCGACTGACTTATCTTTTGCTTTCCCTTCAAATCTAACACATCATAATATAATAGATAAAGCAAATACAGCAACAAAAATAATCCAACCACTCATCTACAACCAGAACGTATCATTAAAACTAAGAAAACTGATATATACTTCGATGATTAGACCAATTCTCTCGTATGCCTCACCTGCATGGACAACCATACCAGAATTCCTCATGAAGAAGCTCAACCGATGCCAGAACAAGATACTAAGAAAAATCACCTGTGCAAGATAGTTCATCAGAAATACAAATATTCATAAAGACCTCAAGATCCCGACCGTATCACAATAAATTCACAAATTAAATGCAGATTTCTTTGACAAGGCCAAAAAATGCAATGTAGCTTACTTCAACCAAATATTCACCATCGAAAACTGCAAAAAAGAAACAAAATTCAGACCAATAGCCCCTCACTTTACATCCGACGCCTCATATCACATTCATCAAAATAAACAAGAGCCTCAACTCACAGACCTCACAGATCCACCTATAGCATCAGATTCAGCAACAACAATATTGAAAGATCTATCAAGCGTTTCCCCACGTAGACCATCAATCTGCATCCAGTTCTATAGCCACACATAGTTTAAAGCAAGTTGCTTTGTTTTATTTTCTTTATTTCTATTTATTCAAGCAAAGTGCTTGTGAATCCCCCTCATAGCTACCACACTGCCTGCTGACCACAAAGAACTCACACAATTCTAAATAACTCACGGTGGATGGGGTAGGGGCTGCTTCGCGGCCCAGGTGCCCAGCTAGTATAACTAAAGAAGAAGTTTGCTATTTTCAGTAATTTAATATCATGGACCGGACATGATATGAGATTTGCTTAATTTCGCATTATAAATAAGAATAACAATGCTTCCTAGGTTTATTAATATGTTTCGCAAAGCAACTCAGGCCGAAAGAAACACGCTATAAAGACAGGAAAATTAAAAAAGGGAAAAATACTCGCGTTTAAGCAGACCTCTAATGTCTGGAATTATACATAGATCAATCTAGAATATAGCTCGGGATATCTAAATATTAGAGATAATGTAGACATTGATATATTATGGTGATATAAGATACCTAAAACTAAACTAAACTCAGTGGCGCGACAGCCCATAGAGGGCCAAGGTCTACTGAGCCATCTCAGTTTTCTTGACCTTGGGCTCTGGGGTGCAGGAACAGATGTTCCGGTCAGGTGGTCAGCCGAAAGCGGAACCCCCAGTGTTTAGTTTCCAAGCATGCTTGGTACTCATTTATCGACCCACTGAAGGGATGAAAGGCTGAGTCAAACTTGCCCGACCCGATAAGATACCTAGATTTACAAAATTCTAAATCTGTAATATATTAATAGTATAGTACAAAAATATTTTCGATTCTTAAATTAATTTTTTCTAATTGAATGTGGTGGAGTTGTGAATTGCTTGCTTTTATAATATAAATAATTATAACAATAAGTATTCTAGATGCGTTTATTTTTTTGTAAAACAATTTAACAATCGAGGCTCTAAAAAAATCCAGGTCCTAAAGTAGAATGCGATATGAACTAAAAAATTAAAAAGAGAAAAAGTACTCACATTAAACCAGGTGGATACATTCTCAAAGTTTCTGATACGACCGCGTCCATAAGTTTCATGTCTCTCACTGCGTCGTAACCAACTTCGCCCTAAAAACATAGAGCTTAAAAATTTAATTTTTTGTTTAATGTCCTACAATAAAACAATAAAAAGCTTCTTTTTAGGCATTCTTAAACAGTAAGACCTCAGTAATCCGAAATAATTGTGACAGCACTCTCATCGGTTAATCGAACTATTCAAGTATAGGTTATGGATTATTAACGTAGGTATTTGATTGATTTTTCATAATAAACTCCGAAAATTTATATTTTTTGATTAAATATAACTACGTAATAATTGCCTATTCTTTCGAGTAAGTATAAATATATTTTATTTTAAAATTAATTTGTCTTAATGTCCTAAATAGTTTTTAGCTCTTTTTTTGTTTAAACCCTTTGTACAAATGGAATCTAATCTGAAGCTTTAGATGATTTTTTTAAAATTTAATTTCCTTTATTAATATTCTATTTCAAACTTCGTAAAGCTATATCCCTATTCCATATGTTATCATTTTCTCTCTCAGATATCATAGCATGCTTCCTTTTAGTAGAAGTAAAGGCCATGATGTTGAAACAAAACTATACTTAAATTAATAACAAAAATGGATTAATTCTTTGCGGTCAGATAATATTAAGAGTGTTTTTGTGATTTTGAAGGTTTCATGCACAGTTGAAATAAAAGTTCATATTACTGGAACTGATTAAAGAGTTAATCCTCCCTTTCCTACACAGTGCACGCAGTTTAGTAAAACTTATTGCAAAAATATTGCAAACCACTAAAAATGTAAAACTATTAACTTCTAAACATCCACCGTTTCATAGCAACCTCTGTTTCTTAAACAGCATAAAGGTCAAGTATATCTCTTTACCAGACGACCCAGAGGTTCATCAGATTTTTAAATTAGCGGCAAAATCTATACTGTAAAATGTATTCCGTTCTTTTTTAACCCTTTCGCACCGGACGGGACATGTGCTGTCCAAGTCTGGTAAATTTTTGATATTACGGCTGGGACAGCATATGTCCCAGTTACTGAAAAATATCTAGGACAGAAAATAACGCCCACTTTGGGCTCCAAACCGATTTAAGGTCTCATCGTTCTGAGTCCATGAATTTCTCACGTCAATCATTCCAGATCTAATCAAGCAAGCGACAACTTGCTACGGACAGCGAATACATATTTTCGAGCGGTAGTTTATTAACTGCGATTATTGTTTTAATAAATTCAATTTATTAGGTTTTCAACCACCACTATTTCTAAACAATTTGAAGGCTTATTCGAAGGCTCCTTCCTCTGATAAGGAGTCGAAATGAGTCAAAAAAGAATTTACCCTGAAAAATAGTTGGGACAGCTCGCTTATATTAGTGAGCCTTCGGAAAACACTGTAGAGGAGACCAGCAATGAAGTCGTGTCACCCAATCATAATGATTTGTTTGATGATGAAGTTGAGCTCCAGAACTAGAATCCACCGTCACTTTCAACTAACTTTGCACCACGAATGCCACTAGATAGTTTCATCAAGGGCCAAGCAAATTTCTCTATTGGCAACGAAGCCACCAAAGTGTATTCTTACTTCAAGATCTTTCCCAAAAGCTTTTCCATTTACACTGCCCAATGTACGAACGAAAGTATAGAAATGGAAAGAAAGAACATTTGGAAATGCGAACAAGGAAGTCAATAAGCAAAGGCCCTCTTCCTCCAAAACTATATCATCATCATCAACAACTTTTCAATGTTGGAAACCATTTCCCAATTGAAAGAAAAACGCACAATAGATGTGCATGGTTCGTAAAAATGAATAAAGAGGCACTCTCGAAAATAGTGTGCACCTCTTGCAACGTAGCAGCACTGTGCAAGAACTGTTTCCAGCCCTACCACCCCCTCAAGAAATCCAGACTTTAGATACTGCTGTTCCTCCACCACTACTTTCAAATTTTTCAATTTTTTACCTTTCTTATTTTATAACTGTTAATTTCGAAAAGTGTTCATAAATAAATACGTTAACAAAAATGTTAACACAAATGTACATGAAAATGTTAATTAAAAAAAACGTTGCCTAAAATAATCATCAAAATGTTAAGTAAAATGTCAATAAAAATGAGTTATGGACTCTAGAATTCCGGCCGGGACATACCCTGTCCTGGGATTTAGATGCTTTGTCCTTACGGTGGGACATATGCTGTCCCATCAGTGAAGCTTGTGAAATAATTGTTATTGGTGGTGTGCTGTTATGGGGACGCTTATGCGTCTCCAAGACCTTCAACCTTTTGGGCATGAAAGTTATTTTATCTAATAATCGCTTGGAGGAAAAATAACTGATCCCGTCAATGGGGAGCACTTGGTCTGATTTTTCGCCGTATTGAAAGGGTGAAAGAATTATTATTAAATTCTTCATGATCACCGAAAGGGCATAGAAACTTCAAGTATCTATAGAAGTTCGATGCATGCTAAATGAAAATAATCAAAATTGAAAAGTTTGTGAAATCAGGAAAATTTCAAATAGCTTTTATGAGTAGTTTGTTATCACTGTGGGGGACATTTGGGAACACTCTCTTATTTATAACTCACACGATATGATACAGCTTAACACTTTATGATGCATAACTTTATGATACAGATTAACACTTCTCATCTTCTGACAAAAAAAAAGTATTTTTCACACACTTGGCATTGTTTTAAGATGTACTCACGTGCTTCTTGAACGCCTCATCCACTTCAGCAATTAATTTATCTTGCCATTGTTGGTTTGTTGCTAATGCATACGCCATGTAAGCTATCGTTGAAGCTGTAGTTTCGTATCCAACAAAATAAAATAGAATGCATTGAGCCACGAGTTCATCTTCTGACAGCCCTAAAAAAGAAGTTGTATACTTTAAAAAAAATAGTACTACTACTTCATGCATACTGTCCAACATCTGCGGAATTTCCGCAGTTCCAGAAAATGCATGTACCTGTGGTAGCTAAGATGGGGTATAAGGGATTTGTAAATTAGATTTAAAAGAATTTGGTCATCAGTGCATATAAATTGGTCTAGTTAGTTATGTAATAGTTCCAAAGGACAAATGAAGCCTTGGTAAACAATAAAAAAAATCAATTTGTTTCAACATTTATACTTTAGTTCACTACAATTACATAAAATACCTATGCTATAACTTCATATATTACAGTAGATTTAAATCAAAATTGAAATAAAGTAAAATGCTTCACACATTAATGTGTTTGATTGCTTGATACATTAATGTATCCTAGGAGTCAAATGCTTACCGAAACATTGTCACTCAACTTAATAATGTGACGGATATTTTAATGAATTTAAATTTTATTTATCGCGTGCAAACTTCTGATTAATTTTTAATTAACGCGTGTGTTTTTGAGCCAATTATTGAAAAAGTACATATATTAAAAAAATAAATAAATCGCAATAATTTTTAAGCTCAGTTGAAAAGTTAATTAAGAAACTATGCAAGTAAATTCTGTGGATAATATATGAAAAGCTTAGTGGATGAATCAGGTAAGTGACATTTTCAGGAGAATTTATTTATCGGCGAAAATAACATAAAGTAGTCACTTCAATATAAGTATGATTAATGTAACAGAATTGGTTTTGCTTTTACTTTAATTTTCACATAATGATTGCAGAATTTCGATTTCAAATTATGCAGTTGGAAATAAAATGAGGCAATTATAATAAATTATAAGAGAACCCTGCTTTTTAAAAGATCTATAATAAATATTAGTTCTTTTGGAAAACACTGTCCCCAAAATCTTAAATTTTTGGAATTGAAATAGTTATAAGAATAGTAATTGATAGAAGAAAAAAAAACTCATTTAGTTTATAGAAAAGCCATTTTTTGGTGGTAATTTTATTTAACACTACCTATTAGGAACTTGACTTTTATTTTTCTTTATTTATAAAATAAATTTTATAAATGCTACAATCTTCAAAAAGAATAATGCATTTTATAACTTTTATACGTTTTCTTAAATTAACAAATGGTTGCCAATTCTATTTAAACGCACTTCAAGAAAGCTGAAGTTATTAACAAATGGAAACCTAAATTTAAAGTGGTAAAAGTTTCACCATAGCCTTAAAAAATTGGTGGAAAGGATACTTACCACGGCTTTAGAAAGGGATAGATTATCAAAACTAGATGATGAGTTCATCATTATTCAGAACAGCTAGCATTTGGATTATAGGCCGAGTCAAGTTCTATGCCTTATGTCCTGCCGCTGATTAAGATTAAACTCTCATAATGTGCTCATTACATCTACCAGCTGAAATTTTCACTGGCGGATGTATTACTTAAATCTACAATGTTATCTATCCAACATCGCTAGAGTGCGGAAGATTAAAATATATATTAATTATAATTAATATTTTGTTGTGGTAGATAAACAAATATCGTTTTCCTTTTCTACAATCTGAAGTAAATTTCCACAAAAAGCATCGAAATAAAAAAAATGGTAACCATTTCGTTATCAATATATTTGTAGGTACATATCAATTAACATTATCAGCTCACCATTATCAATACATTTGTGAGAGAATAATAATACTAGTATAAACAAAAATTTTCCAGAGCCTACTAAGCACTTACAGGTAAAACAATAAAATTTTATCTGTTTTGCAATTTTCTTACAGTGATAATTCAGAAACTGAGCAAAAGCATAAAAAATGAACATTATCCTTAATATAAAAAAACTATTGAAAACTCCATAGCATGATTTTCTATCTCATGTAACTGTTAACGACAATATCGGTATTGTAAGCCATGGTGGTTCAGGGGATAGCGCTCTAACTTTTCAATGAAGTGACCCGAATCCCAGTAATGGCAAGTCGATATAAATTTCGCATCCGCATAGCACTGACCACAGTGCTAACGTATAATATCCTCAGTGGTAGACGGATCATGGGTTGGAGTCCCTTTGTCACTAGGCTAACCGTGGGTTGTTTTCATCTCCATGTAAAGCAAATGCGGGTTAGTTTAATCAAAAGTCCTCCACGAAAACAAATTTTTCCCAATATTTAATCCAGGAGTTTCCCTGTCTTCTGGATTAGGTTCAAAATTACTAGGCTACGGAGTTGAACATTGATAGTCGCAAACTCAATAATCGGTCTGCTGTTCAACAACGTCTATAAAATGTAATAAAATTTTGGTATTGCATGCAAAATCTTTTCTTATGAATGTTTTGCACAATTTCAACATTTTGAACAAATATATTTTTCTTATTCTTTTTTTTTCAATTATTACGTTGTATTATGCAATGTAATTTTAAATTAAACAACTTTAACTACAATTTAACAAACATACCAAAAAACTTAGATAATTAGAAATTAATAATTATTTACAAATAATATTATTATGATTGTTCCAAAGTTCTGCTATGTTGTTCACTTTTGAACATTTCGTACGATACCTATTTTGGATATTGTATAGAATGCACTTTCAACATATTTCAGACATTGCACACAATGTCTAATCAAGGTAGACAATGCCTAATTTCTAACTTTGTTGGTGACACATGACATGAAAATAATTTTTTAAATCTTCGAGTTTGTTAGAATTGCAGCTTGTGGCTGCAAACATTTCATGTTTGCAATCAAACAACAATGACTACGTATCACCACCACGGACGTGGCGGAAAGCGGCTGACCGAAAGACCTGCACGTGCTTCAACGACAGATGAGGAATGCTCGGATTTTGAAACCAAAATGGCTTAAGAGTTGGCAGATATGGGAAGGAGAATTAAAGAAGATGAAAAGAAAAAGAAAAATAATTTGGAGCAGTCCCTCACGCCTGTGCCAAATAGGCCCGAAATACCGACTACATCAGCGGAAGTCACTTCTCAGTTACCAATATTTGTGCCCTTCCGGTGAAAATTGAAAGGTTCCGCGGCCGGAGATGCCCAATCCAATGCTACAACTGCCAAAATTACGGTCACACGCAGCGAATTTGCAACTCATAACCAAGATGTCTCAAATGTGCCGCAGACTGTTTGAACTTGTGTTGAACGTAAATATGTTTTGAACTTTAGTTAGTATCTCTATTACTATACGAATTAATATTTTTGAATGCTGATCACACTAGATGGTGCCACTAAGGCTTAGCAAAATTTATGTAGAATCTTCATGATTTTGAATCCCGATTTTCTGTATATATGCTATCATCAATTTTTAATGCTCAATTTCAAATTTCTACTGCAATTGATGTAAATATCACAGATTAAGCATGTATTTCATGTTTTTGAATCACGATTTTGTGTATATATGTTATCATCAATTATTAATGCTCAGTTTCAAATTTCTACAGCAATTAATGTAAATATCACAGATTAAGCTCGTATTTCATGTATATCCATCTAATCATGGCTATATTCATTTCTCAATGGCAATTAATGCAAATCTCCGATCAAGTTTGTACATACTTTTAATCATGGTTACTTCATTATAATGTTACCACATTGTTACATAATTCAAAATGTTTTATTCACTGTATATAATTTTAATGATGAATGGGGTAGGGGCCGCTGCGCGGCCTAGGCACCCAGTTTTGTTTAAAGAAAGAAAGAAAGCTTGTAATGCAGCAGAGATGCCGACTGCTCCGGGTTCTACAAATTGATTTTAAAAGCGGTAAAGAACTATTAACTAAAATTTGCAGATTTTCAGTTAATTCTACCAACTTTTTTAAAAGGTTCAACAAAGCATAGCGGCGTTATACATAACCTGCTATATATTTAGAAACAGAGGTGAGTAAAAACTCATAAATCAAACTTACTGACAAGGAATCATACTTGAAAACGCTACCACTAGAAAATATTTATTCGCAGTCGGGAGTAAATAGGCACCTTTAAACGCGGTTTATAATTAAATTAAATTCCGTTAGCGTAATAAAAATATTCATAATTAAACCTACATTTATATTTAAGTTGTTTTGGCATCTGTGTATTCGTTACACTACCATATTGATCGTGTACGTCCTCTTCTTCTTTTGTGTCTGTTTTTTTCACTTCAGGTTTTTGTTCTTCCACGGCGTCCATCAAACTTTGCAAAAAATCATCATACCTCTGGAAAAAGGGAGGAAAATGATTTTATTCTAAGAAGAGTGTGAAATATGAATAAATAAACTGAAAAACTGGAAATCATAGCAGTCGAAATCACCACAAAATAATTGTTTGTTGACGACCAAACCTTTTAACACAGACCACTTTTTTTTAAACACACACCATGGATGCCAACTGCCCCGAATAAGACAAAATACAGTCAAACCCCGCTATAGTGAACCTTCAAGGGACCGAAGTTTCGGTCCACTATAACCGGGAGTTCACTATATCCGTTAAGCAGGCAATTTAATTAATGGTTCCCAAACTCCTCCCTTTTATTACATATTATTCAAATAAATGATTGAAAAATATTATGAAGTAGTAAAAAAATGCGTTATTTTTAATAACTCTTCGTCTTGCGTACAAAAAAAATTTTTTAATCTTTAGCTGATGAGCAATCCTGAATATCAAATATGGAAACGTTTCCCGACTCTCAGATCTTGAATTTCTGTTATTCCACTTTTCAAACCTGTCTACCCTGCCATTCGAGCACATAAAAGTAGTCTCACAAAATCACTTTGCAAATTCATCGACATTTGTCCCGATACTGGAAGATTGCGGCTTCTTCGAATGCTGAACCACTTCAGTAATGTTTCTTCCACATCCTTGTGATCTGCTTTTCACAACTTTTTTCTGCTATCAAATTTTTTTTTCATGAGCAGAAATTATCTATTATTCCAGCTGTTACAAACTGTAGATTTGGAGAGTTTATATTCTCTCAAAATATCAGTTTGATTACATCCATTTTCAATTTTTCAGATTATGCCCGTTTTATCATCAAAGGAGAACGTTTTACGTTTACTACTCGCCATAGTTGAGATTAAGGCATTGGTTTGCAGGCTTTTTTTAACTGAACTGAGAGCAAAAAGGAGTAGAAATGAGGGCCTTATCAACACAGATTAGTGTCCAACCCTTTGACGAATAATGAATAATCACTCATTCCCTCTGACAGAAAATGCATATTGATCCCACTGACATCTAACAGGTGCATCATCTACCTGGGTTGGAAAAATCTGCTTGGCATGTTTAGGGATGGGGAAGTGAGATAAAGGAATCAAACAGGAAAAAATACTTATCGCTACTTTCCCCTCTATAGATGGTTTTGAAAGTCTGTATATCTATTTATTTTGAAGTAGAAAATTCAAAATTATTCCAAAAAAATGAAGAAAAGAATCAGTCAAAGACAGAAAAAAGTTTATTAGATCCAACTTCTTCACTTTTTTGGTTCACTATATCCACAAAAAATAACATTATACGTGTATAGCAAGGCACGGGACCGAACATTTCATTCACTATAAACCGTGTTCACTATAGCGGGGTCTGACTGTATTATAAAAAGGGGTGAGATCTACAAACTAAACTTTTTAAAACGCTCAACATGACTTATATGCACTTGACTTGACAGAAGTTGTACCGGTAACCTTTCGGTGACAGTTGCTAGTTCGCATTCATAAGCAATGAAGTAGCTTATAATATAAACCTTTGGATAATTTAAAAGAAGTGGTATTTAAATGCCCTATAGATAGAATTTACTAAATTAACTATCGCACATTGAAAGACTACCATTCGAAAATATTTATCTGCTGTCCGGAGTAAGTTGCAGAGATGTCAACTTGCTCCGGACAGCAAATATATAATTTAAAGTGGTAGTTTATCAATTGTGATTCTTGATGTAATAAAGTCAATTTAGTAGATTTTTATCCACCACTATTTCTAAATAATTCGTAGGCTTATATAATTCACCACTTGCATACCTGCCAACTTTTAATCCCTTTCATTATCATTTTTCCCACTGGTATTACAGAGATGCCAACTTGCTCCGGACAGCAAATTTATATTTTAAAGTGGTAGTTGATCAATTATGATTCTTAGTTTAATAAATTCAATTTAGTGGATTTTTATCTACCACTATTTTTAAATAATTCGTAGGCTTATATAATTAATAACTTTTAGTACTGTTGTCATGCTGTACCTTTTAAAAAGTAAGCAAAAATAGTCAAATACTTGCAAAATTTTCATTGTAGTTATTTACCGTATTTTTAATTATTTTGGCGCGTCCGGAGCAGTTGGCATGTCTGGTATTAAAATGGAATTAAAACTTCAATTTTAAGCAAACAAATACGCTGTATATGAGCAAACTTAAGTTGACAACCATGATAGTAACGCATATTAATATATGTGCTTAATTTTTGTAAGAATAGTGGTGATCAAAATCATTTAAAAATTAAGTTTAAAAAAGAAAAAATAGTATATATTTACTACCACTTTAAATATGAAAACAAAATCTTCCGGAAAATCCGGAAGAGTTGGCAGGTATGCACTTGATAGTACTTATGTCATGCTGTACCTTTTAAGAAGCAAGCAAAAATAGTCAAATATTTGCAAAATTTACTTTGTAGTTATTCACCGCTTTTTAAATTCTTGGCGTGTCCGGAGCAGTTGGCTATCTCTGCCACACACGTATATATATTATATATGGCGGCCAACTACTACGCCGTTTCAAAATCTTTCATAGAATTTAGGAAAACCTATTGCTTTCTGAATTCTGGTTCATTTTGCTAACATTTTAATATTAACCTCAGAACGAAAATGTTACTAAGTGGTGTTTCATGAGAAGTTTTAAATCATTTACAAGTAGTGGTGTGGAAAAAATATTTAAATTAAATTTTCGTCGCAAAGAACATCAAGCACACATACAGTATGCTACCACTAGAAGAAGTTTTCCCATAAAGTATAAAAGTCTGGCATTCCTGATTGTATGAAAAGAGAATATAGCCTCCGCACGGTTTTTCATAGGTAGTCCGATCAGACCACTGTGAAGGATATCCATTTACCGAACGAGTCATTTAATACAGAATATAGTTAAAATAAGAAAGTGATAGCAAATATGTGACAAAAAATTTATTTTATTTATGAATATTATTGGCTTGCCTTATTCACTTGTCAATCACTACAGATTCAATTCTCAAATATATAAGATAAATTTCTCTCAATTACTTTTATAAAAGGTTTTGGGTTCATACGCACAACTAGCTCACTTTTTAAACAGTCTGCGCGGACTACTTATAAAAGACCGTGTGGAGGCATCTTGATGTAGGAGGTGATGATATAGCAGGTAAATGATATTTTCAGTGTTATCCCTCATTAATCATGGCATTATGGGTATGTTCTACATAGCACAATCGGTTTAACTTTCTCTTAAATTCTTACCCATTAATCCCCTTTAGTTTTGAGTATGCGTGCATGATTTTTGTTTCAAATTAGGTATTGGTAAATAAAATTAGGGAAATAATTATTAACCCTATGGTCTAATTAGTCTTCATAAAAATAGTTCGGATACCTCTCTTTCTCTTTTTACCGTCATTTTAGCTCTTTGAAAATGTTATTTGCCTGGTTCATCCACTCTTGTTCTTTATCTAGTAAAGTTTGAACACAAGTTGATTCTTGATCGATGAACAAAGTTTTGACATATTATTAGTATTAACGAACTGCAGTTTTTAAAAGCTTGTTACCACTCCTTTTTCTCTCCTTTCTTTGATGGTTTCAACAACAACTTTCTTGAAGAAATCCATTGGTTTCAGTGCTCCTAACCTGAAATATGCCTGCAGTCGCCGAGGAATCAGACCTACAAAAGAAATGTCACACATATTTTGAAATATTAGATATTTTCTTAACCTTGCTCTAAGAATTTCTGTATTTTCCATATACTGCTATTTTTTATTATTATTTTACTCTTTAGCCAGTAAACCACCCTCCATACCGTTCGTTGAGCATTCTTCCACCCATCCTCCAAAATAAAAGAGAAATTTATTTTAATGAAATAAGGATTACGGTGTTCACCCCAGTATAAGTTAATAAAATGAATGGCAATACATCTATCTGATATCACACCATGTATTTTAACCTTTTTCTTACGGATGGTACAACACGTGGACCACTTGTGATGGTACAATATGGTATACCGTAAGCAAAGGTTTCAACTTATTTTCGTTAATAAATTTGCTTGAGCGCTAATTTGCTACCATTTTATTTAAAATTAAAATTGCGGACAAATTTATAACTTAGACTAATTACCAAATGGTCTTTCTGTTTCCAGTCTTGCCGTTCCACAAACCGCTCTGTGGTAGAGTAGTGGGTTCGAATCCCGCTATAACAATGAACGTATCCTTAACTAATTATATAAACTGTAAGATGGATGGATGAGAAATTACCATTTCATTAAACTGAAAATTTATTATTATATGTAAATTACGAAAATAGAAGTGAATGTGACACACCCGTAAGACCTACAATTTTATATTATTTAGTTTACAAACGATAATCATTAGAATTTCGTAAGTGTGTTAAAAGTGTATCCAAGCGTTCCAATGAGAAGATAAGAAGCCAACGAGAGAACACATTTTTTACAATATTTTCTCAATAGAATTTTGTACGTGTGTAAAAAATGTATCCCATCTTTCTAATGAGAAGAGAAGAAGCTGTTGGGATAGCATATATATTATATTCCTGGAACATATTTCCTCCATTCCTAGAATATTTTTATGGTTTTTACGAATATCCTCATAAAAGTATCAATAAATAACTATATATTCTCAATATCTATAACATATATTAATTAAAATTTGTTCACTCTCTTATAATTCTATTATTTGATCAATCGATAGGTGTGCCTAATGAAAATGTTTGATAAATAATTCTTTAATCATAAATAATATTTGATGAATAATCTTGTAAGAGTTGGATACTCATATATTTTAAAAACAAAAGAAAGTTAAGATATTTTGCAGTATACTTACTCAGGAAAATAACCCGCTTTATATCAAATGCCTGATTGCATTCTTTAATCATTTTGACGAAAATATGGTCAGGATTGTTAAGAGAGTCTACTTTAGTTGCGAAAGCTGAAAGTGCTATGGCATCTGTCACAAATGCTCCAAATATCCTGTAAATATTTGACGTTATTTTTCATGGGGACTTTTTTAGTGCATCAAGTCATGATTCAAACGGGCACAAAAACAGGAATATCATAAAGTATATGTTGAATTCATTTGTATTTAGCGTAAATATTTTATTAAATACAACACCACGAATAATTCCTTTACTTTTGGTTTCATAATTTTGAATTTTGATCGTTTCTATTATTTAACATAATGTTTAAAACCATTTTTAACCCTTTGACGGTTATGAATGAGTTCGGCTAGCAGTCTAATCGTGTTTCATAATGAGTGCAAACGAGTTCCGCTCGGGAGCAAGATTTCGACCGTAATGGTTAGTAACGAGCACTACTCGCGTAGTGAAATTTTTCCCCAATGCGAGCTGAGCTTGTTCGCCATTATTATTCTGCATTGACCAAGTTAAAAACGAATCGCGAAACATAGTTAGTTTTACTGCCCACAGATGGCAGTACGGGTTCCATGAATTTCTTTTCATATTGAAGAGGGAATTTTTTTTTTTTTACCTTGTTCTTTTTATGCGTATTTTGGAGCGTTTTTTTAGGATGTTTGTAAAGTAAAATGGCTGAAAAGCGAAAGTTAGATAATTATGATACATAAAGCTTATCAAGTTTCGAGCCTGATGAAGACTTTGTTCAGGGTATTTAGGTAATTACTGTATTTAAATGCTTCATAAAGTTTTACATTAGTTGTATTTATTTAGGCGATGACAACTTGCTCCGCTTTGAAAAATGGTATTTTCTAGTGGTAGCGAAATTCAAGTTACTTTCAGTATAGTATTTTTCCTTTTAAGTAAATTTTTCATCACTAGGTATCAAAAATTATAAGTTTCATTCAAAATGCAACGTTAAATCTGCAATTTACTGCTTACTCTGTTAAAAAGTAGACGTAACTGTCCTTCTTCAACGAATTTTACTACATAATTTGTTACCACTTTATTATAACTATTCCAGAAAGCGGAGCAGTTGGCATCGCCAGAGAAGGGTGACATTTTCGGAAGAACGGTGGGCGAAAACAGCTGCCACTTTCGACTTCTGTTTGCTCGTAATACTTCGCGAATTAATGAAAGGAAAACTGCTCATTTCCCTAACCGTCAAAGGGTTAAAGATAATTGTCTCCATACAGGTTTGTTTTTAGAAAATTCTTAGATATTAATTGACATTTAAGACAATTTCATGAGGGTTAATCAAATGAAAAGGGAACACGCAGTTCAGCATCAAAAACATATACTAAGGTTAATAGCGCCATTACTTGGTTTAATAACAAAGTGCATCGAAAAGTTCTTGTAAGTGATTAGCAGTTCACATGACACGTTTCAAGTAAAAATTAGAAATATGCGTTTAGAACAGAACAATGCGAAGAAGTAACATATTTAGAGACACAAAATGGATACACCATAACTTTACTCATATCAGAAAAGAAATGTCAGAAACATAACTATCCATTACACCTTATCATTTTAGCAGTAACAGGAAAACATTCATGCGAGATCTGACGTTTAACTTGCCATGTATTTTAGCTTATCCGTATAACATCTTTGACGAATACTTTTACAACATTTGTAAACAGTCAGTAAACCTATACAATATTCGCCAAAAGCTATAACCATTTGAAGTTAAATACCTTCCTTACTCCCATGATCTGTCACTAAAAATCACTCTGATGCACGTTGTTCTGTTCTGATTCATCGATTTAAGTAGGACTTTACATTTACTTTATATGCCCTCATGCGAACTGATTAATTAGATATACTTAACTGTGGTGAACTTCTCTAATGTTAATATATAACCCTGAATGTTTCGCTACTATTGTTCCAAAATTTCTAATATTACAGCCCGTGACCTTTTTATATTTGGGAAACATACAAAGTATTAAAATATTGCAAATTGAGAATTCTTTAGTAAAATCTAAAAAAAAAATATTATAGTGTTTTTTATATAAATCAGTATATAGTTTGTCTACGATAAGAACTCCCCTTACCACAATGTCCGAGGCAATCTGCTGCTATGGAGACGCGAATAGCATATTTCAGGGATTGTAGCTTCTCTTCACTCTAGGGCTAACACCATATACAGAAGAAAAAGATTCCTTTTCTTCGGTCTATTGTGTTAGCTCTAGAAGAAAAGAACGGAACCAAAACCTGTCCTAAACAGTCACCCCACACTCCTACTTGAAAGAGTTATACCTCACTACCATAGTCACCTCCTAGGCTGGATAGGGGAGTCCTTACTTTAGACAAACTATACAAAACTGAAGTAAACAAAATTCCATGATTGAAATGATACTTACGCCTTGCAATCAACCGGTTCTCCATTTTTGTAATATTTTTCAAATGTCTTCAGAACAGTTTTGGAACAGCCATTGATGATATTCTCCATCTATAAAAAAATATAATTTATTTCTGATGCATATTATATGCAGATTATAACTGATTACTTTCTTTTAATAAAATTTTCTATTGACCACTATACTAAAACATTAAGACAGTGCTATAGCTTTTACTTAATAGTATAGTGTCAATATTTAATAGAGCTAATAATAAGATCGTTTCAAATTACAAGAACATATTAAAGTTCGAATTAAAATTAAATTTAAAAAAATAACATTAAAGTAGTTACAAAACAATATATTTTTCTTCGCTCGACAAGTTATGATTGTCTTCTATATCATGAAAATGACTCATACATAAATCACAGGACGATAATTCAAGACTATTTTAATCCGAAAAAAACTTCAATAACTCACGGAATTAAATTCAAGAAAAACTTTCATAGATAACAATAGATATTTACTCATTCCTATTTGCAAAAAGAAAAAGAAAAATTCTTATGGTCGGATTTTCACGGACTGTCAATCGGATAACCATTGAGGGGAAAAACTATTGGGGGAAGTCCTGTTAATCAACAAAGCGATGATATTGGAGCAGTTGGCATCTCTGCAAAGAGTACAATCACGTCTATTAATGTCAAACATAAAAGCTAAGCCTAACCTTAGGTAAATTAGCGAATTCTGCGAGTTTCATTTCTACCGTGTAGGTTGTCCTATATCATCAATCCAGCAACCTCAAATGGTTTAGAGTCGAAACCGAAACTGTGAAAATACAATTTTACAGTCTACCGAAAAAGATAAGTAGCAAAATATATTTTTCGAGAAGCGAAAAATTTGGAAGCTGAAAACGGGAATAAATGCAGATTGGAACCTTTAGAAGGATTTTTTTTGGTTGAAAATAAAAAATAACACATAAATCTGTTTCCTTATTAGTAATATTTGACAAAACGCTCAGAAATTCTTTGATCCTTTTTTTTCTTCCAAAAGTGTTGTTTACCTTTCTCATCTGTTTTGAAGTAAATGCAGGAGATATGATGGTTCTAATTCTTTTCCAATCTTCTCCATTTAAAACGGAGATCATGGTGTCCAGAATTTTATCGTTAAATGCCTGATCCTACAATTGAAGAATAAGGCAAATTTGAAACATTTGTATTTAATAAATTACACCTGGAAACAAATTTTGTGATGCATTCATGCAATGATGTTACCTAATTCGGGGGTTTTAAATCTGATTTGCAAAGCTGCAGATTCAATTCAAAATGATGTTTTTCAGTTTAGTTGAATTTTTTGTCTGAATGCATACACTTCTATGAAACGTTTTGTTTTATGCACACAGTGAACAAAAAGCTCTCATACAACTTTAAAAGCATATCAAACAATTACAAAGTGTTAATGTAGTTCCAATTCATTTCCGACACTTTAATGTAAGGAATATATAAGCTATTGCAAGCATATATCCTGTATTACTTACGATTTCCTTTTTCTCGGTAAAATATAGAAATTTAGAGAAAGAGAGATAAATAAATTCATCGAAGGAGAGCAGTTGGGCAAAATTTTCAGAGACTTGAAAGATCTGGGGATGATGAAAGATTTTATTTACAGAACTAGCAGAAATTATCATGATATGGCTTTAACAGGAGAACTGGCTGACCGCGGTCGGTTCGAACAAAAGAAACTGTGAAAAGAGTCAGGGAAAAGATATGAGGAAGCATATAGAGTTGCGCTTTAAAGCTTGCCCGAGAGCTTAAAATATCAAAGGAATTAATTTTAAATATTTTGAAAAATGACCTCTGGTGGGAAACTCATAGAAAGAGCTGTTTGATGTAGGAGGGGATGCTCAAGCTTGCTTAGAAAATAAAAGGCGGTATTATTCCAAAGAATTTATTGTAAAGAAACTTAATGAGTGCTACTTTAATGCGAAATGTTTTTGCCTGATTTATTTTGTATTATTTTAATAAAACCTTGAAAGTGCATGAAAACTTGTAGGTCACAGTGTAAACGAATGTATTCTCGTCTGCGGCTTTGAAAATAATGTTGAAGTAAAAAATAAGGAATAAATAAATAAAAACAAAAGCAATAATCGTTTTAGGTTGAGAGAGGGTAATGTATTTATTATATTATTTTCAGTGAGGCCATGTCTTGGCGAATAGTAAGCAGCTGTAATTTTAAGTTTATGATTGTCATATTTAAGAAGTATAGAGATTTTCTTGTAATCTTCTTTGTTACTGTTGTATTCCGTATAAAGATTAATTTTGGCTAGAATTGCAATACCATTTCCTCTGTAATTATGATCACAACGATAAAGAAATTATTTGGAATCTTATTACATTCGACTTACAAGGAATCGTCTTTCATTCTACTTATGAGACTCGCATTCGGTGGTTTGTGAACTGTTTGAGTTCTCACTCTGGATTTATCATGCCTTTGTTTTAAATATTTAACGCATCTTTTGAGGGTAGATGGATGTGCTCCTCCGCTGTTTGCACATGTTGTTTGTTCTTCTTTAGGTTTTTCACAGTATGTCCATTTGTCTCAACCGCATTTTTATGCTCTTTTGAGCATGAAAACGAGATCTTTGAACCTGATTGAATCCATGGCACCGGAAGCATAGAGTTATTATTTGGCGACCTCTGTTATTTTACAACTTTGACACAAAGGTGCATCAAATATTCAAGTTTTTAAACCTTTTTGTTATTTTCAGCTTCCGGCAGAGTCACAACAGAGATAATCAACAACAGAGCTGAATCGTAAAAGGTGTTTCATTTAAACTGCTGTTTCAAACAATTTGAAACAATATATGTGGCTTATCATTATAATGTCCCCTCTCATATTTATAATTTTGTAGGTTATTAAAATGACTAGTATTGTGTTTCAGAGCTTTTTTTATTTTTACCTGAAGAATAAAATGCATCACTAACCTGCCTGTGGCTGAAGTAATTGAAATCCTTCACAAATATATCTCTCAAAAGTTTTGGATCTGAAATCGTAATGGCGGGCTGCGAAAACGAAAAAGTCCTGAAAAATGATAATAAAATAAAATGAAACTATAAAATGTAATAAAAAACTATGTTTTTTAAACGGTCTAAAAACAGTCTGTTTTTATCGGACAATAATCAAATACTATAGGTCTCATCTCCTTCGTAAACTGTTATCACCATCGATAGATTAACATTTTATTTCCTTCAAAAGTGACACGTTCTAGTTATATTTTGTCTTTAATTTAACAAAAACAAAACTAATTTAACCATTTTGATTAGAGTCGGGTACAGAGCTCCACTTAAAATTTCAGCACTTTAGTTTATCAGAAAGTGGATGAAATTTTCTTTAACCATCAATCCCTCCTGCAACTATCAGAAAATGATATAAACTTTCTTTGCAACTATCGTTATCATCATGAAATAGAACTTAGTGGATAAAACAGACAAGTTTATCTGCCGACTTAAAGCAGGTTAGTTTTAGGGTATTTATAAATCAGAGAAAATAACATGACTTTGCAGCATCAATGTGGGTATGTTAATGCAATGGAATTATTTTCACTTTAATTTTATTTTAGCATAATTAAAATACTTTATAATTGGGAATAGTGAAAGTTTATTTTAGTCTTCCCGAAACATGTTAGGGAAAGGAATTTGCTACAAATGTTTCTTTTTTTCTGTCTTAATTTCATTCCAAATTTTAATTAAGAAAACAGGTTAATAATACTTAAATAATACTTTTGTTTATTCGTTTAATGTCTCCTAGAAATTATCTGCTCCATTTGTGAATAGATGATACACACTAAAATGCATCAAAAAATTAACTAATCAGTTTTATTTAAATTTCTTATACAAGTTATATAAAAATAAATTATTTTTTACATATTTTTATTGCATTTGTTCGTATCGTGCTGACTACGCTAATTAACTAATTAAAAACAGCCCTCTTTGAATTGTGAGCTCGCAATTGCTCAGATGGGCTGGAGGTTAAAATCTTGAATAGCATTGACTTCCCTAAGGAAATATTTGCTCAATAAATCTAGTTCGACACAAATACTTTCGTTATTTGGTAAACGCAATATGTTCTTAGAATACATTGATTGAATGTCAAAATTCAAAATTCATTCAAGCCCTTTTAAAAATTCATTCCTAAATTTAATTAGCTTTGAAATTTGAAACAAATATTGTTTCGCCTCCTCATATATAGTAGACCACTTTTCGTCATAGAACTTAACTTTTTCGTCATAGCTTAAGTTTCATCATTGAACTTAACAAAGCTTTCAATTGATCATAGGTGCTACTCATCGTTATTCGACGGTATGATTGCAGCCCATTCTGTAAAATATTTAAAAGCGATCGAGCGCTCTAGAAGATAAACAATTTTTTCCAAGATTCTGTGTCAAATAATTTAGCTACCTGGACTGCATTGTGTGTTTGACAAAAAAAAATTAATCTTCGACGCTCACTCACTAGAAAGATATTTGCACCATTTCATAAAGCTTCAAAATATAGCGCACAAAATAAAAGAAAGATACCACCTTCAATAAATTTTGGTTAGATTTTCATAAATTAAGTGACTGTCATAACGGTTGAAAGTGGTTGTTGCTATACTGCTACCGAAAGTTGGCAGTTGTGCTACTTGCTTAATTTAAGGCAGGTTTCACCAGCAGGACGAAAATTATGAAGGATTTTTCTTTCTTAAAAAAAAGAAGAAAAAAACATAAAGTTTTTTTCGTAAGTTGTACTTTGTAATAGATTTTAAGTTCTGTTTATCATCTTCAAGAATTCTGGGAGGAAAACTGGAGGAGAAATGAGTGGTTCAGAATGATTTTCTCTGACGAGTCCCGTTTTTCTGTTCATCCTGATAATATGTGTATTTTCAACTGGAGGGATCGTGGCACTAGAAACAATCCTGCGTTCGCGCAAGAAAGTGTAAGNGGGGGGGGGGAGAGTCATAGCGAAGTTTAAGTTGGGTAAAATTGCAACTACTCACTTTCCAACTATCAATCTTTCGGAAGATAATTCTTACTCAATATTTAAAACATGTACATTTAATTACAATTATATATCTGGAAGCTTTAATCTTTTGAAGGATGGTTGTTCTTAGTGGTAATAACATGTAAATTGTATCAACTTTCAATCTTTTGGAGGATGATTTTTCTCAGTGGAAATAACATGTAAATTGATTTACAACTACTGCCTAACTAATACAGTGCGAACAGAGTTTCTAACCCAGAGAGTTATCTACTCCATCCAAATTTAAAATAAAATTAGTTGGGAGAGGCGTAAGCGTAATATTCATAGCGAAGTTTAAGTTTGGTAAAAATCACAACTACTCACCAACCATCAATTTTTGGAGGATGATTTTTTTTCTCTCTGATAATAACATGCTAATCAAATTACAATTGCATACCTGCCAACTTTCAATCTTTTGGAGGATGGTTTTTCCCCTGTGGTATAAAAGTTGGCAGAAATGCAATTACCCGGTAACTGCAACGGCAAAAATTTTGAAAAACTGGTACACAATGTTTTATATTCACGATGTAAATAAAATGCTGCAGTAAATTTTAAAGGTTTTAATTTTGGAAATAGAGCTGGCATGTTTTGATATCTAGATATAATTTTTAAATTTACTAATATATTCTGGTTCGCAGGAATTAGTCATGCCTATTTGTTTTTGTTTGTGTCAATGTTACTCTTCTACTATTTTTATTTTTTCTGGTTGCAAATTAATTGAGGCAGTAGTTTTTCATAAGCACTTAAAAGTTCAATTACATGATTTACAAGTTATTTGCATATGTCTTTTAAACAGTTATGAAACGTGGAAGTCGAAATTTTTAATACTGTTCTTGATTAAATTTCTTAAATCAAAAATGACATGCTAAATAATCAATCTAGTTGCCAACTTAAACTTTCATGGTGAAATTTTTTTTAAAAAGTAGGGATATAAAAATGCTTCAAATATTAAAGATACTTTTTTTTAATTAAATTGCTTTACTACCTACGATTCCTGAAAAATCAAATTTTAAAAATACCACTTTCTTAAAATTCAATTTCTCGTGAACTATTCTCACGATTTCTTTCAAATTTTGTATTTTGTCGTATAGATATTATTAAATAAGATAATAAAAAATTTAAATATTTACTAAAATTTATTCTTTCTTGGAATTAATGTAATGAACTTTAATGTAACAAAGCTGTTATGAGTTGATTTTTTGTTTTCCTTTCAGTAAAAAGCCATAAAATAATATTATTAATAATTATAAATGTATTGAAATGCATCTGGAAATTATTTATTAATTATTTTTCTTAAAGAAATTTGATTTGGCAACTGTTATTTTGTTTTCTGATTATTTCACACTCTTCACATTAGTTTAATCAGAATTTTTAAGTTTAATTTGATTTAATTTTGATAATCAATAAGTGCAATTAAATCAAACTTATACATAAGAACAAGTAATAGTAACCAAAATGACTGTAAACCATACGAACAATGAAAAGTTAATTTTATGAATAATTGCATTTCAGCTAGTCCTTTACTACCGCTTCGGAAATAATTCCTCGAAAAGAGTCAAAGTTGGCATACCAGACATATTTCGAATGTAAAGTTAAAATACGAATTAGTTGATTAAAATAAATTTCTTATAAAAAAAAATTCACTCACCGCAAAAAACCGGTAATACCAACTATGACCAAAGTGAATATTATAATTAACCACGTATATATGTTAAATTCGAACATATTTTAATAAATAAGAACGATATTTCATTAAAATAAACTCTTTATTTAGAGAGCAACTAGTTTACGTTCGTCTTATAGCAACATCAATCTGTCAACTGGAAATGTAATCTATTCACAACAAAACTGAAATGATCCTTTACGAAGAGAAAAATGACAAAAGTATTCAAGGTTAAAAGTAATCTGTGATTGATGCCGATTGTAACACTCAAATCATAACAATAACGACGTCATTTTCTTTTATTTCCCGGATCTTATCTAACTTAGAGCAGTAACTACTGTTATTTCTTTTATCGAGCATGTTTTGAATAATTTAAACAACTATTTTTGATAAATCCAAAAACTGCATCATTACCCTCATTAAAAATAATTTTGTTTTCTTAGCAAATTTAATAAGTTTATTTTTATACACCGACTGTGCAATATTTTAACCACAGAGTCCAATATTTGAGGATGTTGTGAAATATTTTTTTTTTTATTGTAATAAACTAAAGCAGAGTTTTTTGGAAAAAAAAGTATTAGAGCTTAAACATTTGTCTATAAGACCTAATATGTATTTATTTCAATTACTTGTGATTTAATTCTAATGAATTAAAATATTAATATTATCCTTGCTACCACTAGAAAAAAAAATATTTTCTGAAACTACGGAGAGTCCATTGACGTAGGAGTCTCTGATTTTAAATTAATTCCGTTAATAATTTGAAGTGTCAAGAAAACTGAAAAATAACTGACTTCAACAAAGTTATCTTATAGTATCGAATATGTGAAATAATTTATTATAATAATGTATAAAGTAGGGCAGAAACATTTTAACTATACAAAACAAATTATAAGGATGATGATGATCATCATTATCATAAAAATTTATCTGAGCTCCTGAGATCATTATTCTCTTTTACATGACTTAGATATTTTTTCAATGCGCATGCGCATTTTACCAGAGCTGACACATGCGCAAACTCTTACGTGCGTGTGGGTACGGAAGCTAACGTAAATTTGAAAAATCTCCCAATTTTATCCTTAAAATATCGTCTTTTTATACTAATTAGCATATTTAAGATTTACCTATTAAGACTACATTATTTCAAGTGCCAGTCCGATCATTTGATAAAACATTATTTAGCAGTAATTTTTTCCTACCTTTTGTGTAAAACTTCACATTTAAAAAAAAGAAGAAAAACAACTAAGAAAATAATGCATTAAAAGAAAGTAAAATGTTTTGCTCCATACTAGCTACCAAAAACACTCTGGAAGTTGGTGTTGCACTTTAAAGCAATTTAAGGTTTGTTTTATAGTGCAAAACTTTTTTCAATTCAA